AAGAAAGAAACACAAACCATACTGTGTTTTGATCACTGAAGGAGGATAAGAAATGCTGTTGTTGGCAAGAAGAGGTTTATGGAGAGAAATTGTAAAATGGTAAAAGTCATTTCAATTCTATTCACATTAATATAAATAAATCATACTAGTTCTTCTTTTTTTTTAAATATCGAAAGAATCCTCTTAGAATGATAAAGTCTGAAACGTTGTATGTTGATGCATGCTTAATCGTCCTCCAAATCTTTAGAATGTCTCATGTCTTAGGAGAGGCGGAAAATGACCAATCAAATTGTATGAAATTCTGGCCTCAATGCATATCTATCTTGTCTTTTCTCGAATGAGAGTTTGTAAAGATTTGGAATAACCCCCATCCATTCCACCTCTCCTCATTTCATGGGAGTCATATTTTATGCGTTCTCGAACCTTTTTTACGATCAATTCTAGTACCTAACAAAAGATAAACGTTTGAAATGTTTTATTTAAAAAAAAGATTTGTTCAGATTTGTTTTCAATATACCAACATCCATTAACATAAAATAAACCTGATGGTGAAATGTAATTTAATTTATTCATCTTCTCTGAAAATGAAAAGGACAAAAAATTTCTCTTCATCAAGCCTTTTCAAGTTATTCAAATTTCATTTATTATCTCCGCTGAATCATTTTTAACTTAAAATGTATATTTTTATACAATTATATTAAAAAAAAAAATATTATAGCAAACTTTGTCCACAAAGACATAATTTTGTGTAATTTTTTTTCATCCAACTTTTTCAGCATTGCGAAATCTTATTGTCTCTGCTGAACAAAAAGATACAAGTATCTACTGAACTAGTGTAAGTATTGCTTAACAATACGAAATTCTTAGACATAAAATTCTTAAACTGTAAATTGGTATGTTTATACAAGTATATTGAACAAAAAATTCTGTAATTTTCCATGGTTTGTTTGGCATCTTAATCAAATAATTTTAAGCGACTTAACTCAGGTAACAAACACTGTATGTGGCAGATTTATCTCTCTTAAAGATACGATGACTAAGAAAGTTTACTATTAACATTTCTCACAAATTATGCGATTTGAATGTTTTCGGATTCCAAACCCCACCTGTTTCCAAATTTGATATTATGAACTAGACTCATTTATTTTGGATGTTGTTTATAGAATTCTTTACCTAGAATATTTGTTATTTTTTTCATAATGTCACTTTTTTCTTGATTTCAAAAATCTATACGATATACTTTTATAGCTTAAATTGAAACGGTATACTTTTAATCACAATATTCCATAATTTTCATAATTTTATAAAATGAAGTAAAACTTAACTTTTGAAATAAGTCCTAAAATGGATACGATATACATGTATACCTTCAATTATAAAATAATAAATACTAAAATTGAGACAATATGCGTATATTTAATAAGTCATAAAATTTGTAATTTTCAAAATTTCATGAAGGTGAAGTATGTTTTTAACACTTTCAGGGTCCATATAAATATATAAATAAATATCTATTAATAAAACTGTATATATTGACTATATATTAAAAATGTCGTACAGATTTATCATAAAACATCAGCTACTGGTTTTCACAATACATGTATATTCAAAGAATAATACATGTAATGAGTAAATAAGATATTAGTAAACGACCGAAAACCGGTTTAAATAGTAGGAAGTAATTTAACAATTTCTATTTTTAGTGACACAAATACAGTTTGATAAATTTTCCTACTTTTCTCTATCAAATGGCTTTTTAAAGCATAAAAGATTGATTTCTTTAGGGAGAAGTCGAACTACATTAAATAATTATAACCATTATGTACCATCGAATGCCCTTTAAGCATCTAAATAGGATACAGTGGTATTTTCCTTCGAAAAGGTCATAAAGTCTTGGATTCGAGAATTAATCACTCTGGATCTATATTTTTGAAATATTTGAGCAAAAAAAGTTGGTTTTTTAAATTTATCACACTGACGTTTGAAAAAATCCTTTTCTTTTCGAAACTGAAATTATCTTTGTAGTTTCATTTAAAAATAAAAATTTTACTCAAAAATATATGGCAGTCTAAAATATGAATGCTAGAAAAGCGAAGCAAAAGTATTACTTTAATCCTGTCTATTTATTTTTTGAAGGAAACTATGCAATCTTCACAATTCAAACGTATATTTATTATCTGTCAGATCAAATTTATATTTTGATATTTTTTACAAAATCTCTCTCTCTCAATGGGCAAATATGGCCACACAAGACATTCTTTACAAAGGGCATTTTTATTGAAGATGGTTAAGAAATGCATGGCGTAACAGTTGTCAGGCAGTAAAGATTTATAGGGAAAAAATATTAAGTGGTTTTACTCAGTGAATTAATGTTACATCAATAATAATAAATTTCATTTAAGAAATTAAATAGAAATCAATTAGTATCCTCCTTGAATGTGAAAGTCTGGAATATTGTATGTTGTATGCTGGTCATCTGAATTTGGGGTTTTCTTCCATGTCTTATTAGAGGTAGAACTTGAGCAATAACGTCTGAAATTCTGGCTAGGGGACGCCTTCCAGAACCCAAAGCCTTAGAGAACAAAAGTTTTATAAGTTTGTGAATAACCTCCATCCATCTGCCTCATTGAATTTTATGGGAAACAGAATTTTTGTTTTTAGACTCATTTCAATGATTTTTCTGTTAAGTCTTTAAAAAATATGATTTAAAGAAATTTTCAGACAGTCTTGAAGTATCAGAAATGAAATCTTTTGGTTTAAAAGTTTTTTTTCTTTATTGAACAGTTCTCTAAAATAATTGTAGAGGTTTCTCGAGCCGAGCCCAAAGAACTAGGGATAAGGAGAAGGAATGACCAATGGCTGCGATCTTATATAAAAGCAAACTTACTTTTAGTGCACTGTTTTATTTTTACGTCTAAGAAAAATTACTTATTTTCCCCTCTATTACCACTTTATGATAAACTCCTATTTCCAAATAAAAACAACACACAAATTTAATTCTCTTATTACTTTTCCCTAAGACATCGATGTTGTACAGTCATTTATATCTGTTTTTCTTCAATTTTATCCAATTGTTAAATAAGGTGGGATGGTAAGATCCTTAATACACAAACGTCATTCACATTTGAATTTCTACTTGAATTAAGTATCCATTTAGTTTTAACGCATTGTTTGTTAACATCAGACACGTCTTATCGTTTTTTGAAAGTAGGGGGGTGCAGCCAGAAAAAAAAATGTTCTCAAGTAAAAAAAAAACTTGAAAAAAAAATAGAAAAGAAAAAGGAAGAAAGAAAAGAAAAAATGTACAAAGTCGAAAGTCCTATTTCGTGTTTGTGTGTATGTTTGGGGGGGGGGGGGGGTGTCGTTGAGGTTCCAACTTCTTCCACAACCAAATATTATTAATACATCACTACATTTGCCATTATACTGCAACACTGTACTGCAACAGAAAAAGGTGGAGGGGGCAACCAGCCTTATGCTGAAGATTTTCAAAAAGGGGGGGGGGGCAGCGCCCTCTCCCCTGATACTTGTTCCTGAACATTGAATATTTCCGTGTAAGGTCAGGGATATTATGTCTCTAAACTCAAAGCCGTCCAGAGTGCCGAAAAAAAATCACCCAAGTGACTCAAAATAAAACATCGTTTTATAAACTTCACATTGCTGCATATGCAGTATTTAACTTTTTTTGGTTTGAAGTGATCAATGTTATTCCTCATTCCTTGTTCCTGCATGTGGTAGGCCTACATATAAAATTTTGAAATATACCTCAGGACAAGGCAATCTTAGTACCTCTGCTCTTATGTGACCTGTCTGATAATGAAAGAGTCAATGTGAAGTTCAGGACGACCCAGGCATTTGATTCACGTCTTAGTTACATATAGAGGTCTGCCAAGGTCTCAAGTATATTCGATAATTGGCGAAACAAGATTTTGAAACGCAATATACACTTTTGACTACACTTTACGATGTTTTTAGCAGTAAAAATGTGCCTTACATTGATTCTGCACGTTACTAAACCTATAGGTTCAATAAAGATAAGATTTAAACTAAACATTTTCTCTGGTGAAAGATTTCTGAAGAATGGAATGTATTTTATTATATAAGAAATCATTTTTGTACAGGACGACAATAATGTAATTTTGTTTCAATCAGAGCTTCTAACTAGTTTTTCCTACTGCATATGAATAGCAAACGTTTATAAACCTTCATTTTTTCTGTCATTGAAATGGTTAGTTATTATTTTTCAACAAGAGTTTCCGACAAGAGAATTGCAGCTCATATTGCTTTAAATAAAATTGATATAAATGAATTTAAACTTTTTTATTGGATTGTTCAGTTATCTTTAGGATTTTTCTGAACGAGAGATAAATTATGCAACTTCTGATTACATCATAAACACTTGTTAGCTTATCTGACTTGAGAGCTGAACTGAGCCTTTTTCCCTATGCATGTCCATTGTGTGTCTAAAGTACAATGGCTTCTGCAAAATCAATAGCAAAGGGAATCTTTGACTAGAAAAAAAAATAATTTAATAAATTAAAGTGCATTATAAAACAAAGACTTAGAAAATTGTACATTTCAATTTTAAACTTTTAACTTTGAAGAAGTTCAAACCCTATCCCCTACGTTATTTAACATATTGGAATTGTTTTGTATCTGGTTAATTTTCCTACTTCTAGTGTAGGATAAACAACAAGAACAATAACAGGTTTGTTTTTTTTGTGTATAACTGACCCCCCACCAAATATTTTTATTGAAAATCAAAACTTTTTCCTTATTCATAACTAGCTCATACAGTAATATTCCATCTACATTGAAACCCTATATTATGAAACATATTATGAAAAATTTCAAAATTGGACACGCATTCGGAAGATGTAGTATTGTCTGTTGTTATCATGGTTTACTTTATACCTTCATGACGACCAAAAAATGCTCTCCAAACTTCTGAAAGTAGGTTATCTTTGTTTCCAGTACTGATATTTAAGGACATCTCAGCCCCTACTGTCAGAGGTAGGCCGCCGGTAACGATAGTGAGGATGTACTCTATTCTAGCTCTCCTGGTCGTGGTAGGTGCTGTTTATGCACAAGTTCCTCGACCCTGCAGTAAGTTTATTTCTTATGAAAATGCCACTTTACCACTAAGCGTTTTATTTAAATAATCTTAATAGGAATAAATAAATTGGAAGGAATTTCACAAGATTGCATATGATTCTTAAATTTTCTGCAGCAAAGTTCAGACAAAAGAGAAGAAAATCAACAATAGGGTTTTAAATCTGGGTTTTAAATCTTTGATGTAAAGATTTTAGCATCTATATAGTTTTACCTTTCAAAGAACTCAAGTGCTTCAGATATGGGGTATCAATGCAACCTTCTCCTTTGTTAATAAAGAGCCTAAAAAATATATAGACTGATGTTCTCCATATTTAAAATATTCTGCAAATGCAGGGTTTTTTTTTCTGTTTTAAGTAGACATTACTCATATTTTGATTTCACTTGGATCTATTTTAGCGTTTCATAAGCAAAGTCCGCCTTCGCTCTATTTTTGAATTTTCAAATTTTACTCATACTAGTATTTGTTGTTTTCAAAACAGTGTAGAAAGGACACAAAAGAGCAAAATTTAATTTGCAACGAAAATTAGGTTGAATATATTATTCGCAAGTGTATCATCCTTGATAAAATAATTTGAAAGATCTCTCTGTTTCTCATACTACCATACTAGGACTGTTTCTTTCTATTTCAGATTCTCCACCTCAATGGGAAAGCAGAGAGATAAGAGTAAGTGTAGAGACAGAATATTCACAAGTTCATAATTGTAGTAAATCAAAGATCCAGGGGACGATTCCAACCCAGTAATATTTCTATGAATGGATGACACAAACTTTGTGTATTTTAATGTACAACAATGAAGTCATATTGTGGTTCCAACTGGATCTCAAAAAATATGCTACAAAAAAGCGGGGACTACACTACAGGAGTATTTCAACAGACTGCAAATTAATTTTTATTGTAGCCCCACCTTCAACCAATATATCAAGTTTTGCACACACATGATTTTACAACTTACATCTAAAGATCATTTCGAGAAGACCCATATACTTTTACTGTTCTTTGTAACCACATCCTAGACCCAGAGGTTATGACCTGATTCCATATATAAGAATTTTGTTCTATATGTCAGGTTGATCCCTCCCAGAAGTTTATGGAGCGTCGCCGCCTCATCTATGACGCAACAAACAGACGTGAAAGACGATTCGAGGAGATCGAAATTGGAAGCGACAGAAGCTTTTATGATCAGCTCACTTTATGGAATGAAGTATATCTTTGGCCTCTTTTTATAATTACTACCTAAATCTAATAAATGAAAAAGACAATAATACCTTAAAAATGAGTTAACCCTGTATTATTTATCATTGTTCCTTTTACATAAAGAATGCTGATCTTATGCATAATTATCCTCTTTAGATCTTTGCTTTTGTCCCTTCATCTAAATAGATCGGTTATTTTTAAATGCCTATTCAGGCTGAAATAGAGTCGTTGAGTGCATTTGGAAATATTAAAAAGGAACAAGAAATGATTCTTTTACTGTAGTAATTAAATTTGTATAATTTTACACCGTAAATGTGTAATTAAAACTGTACTTATCTGAGTATATATAAACGATTTTTTTTTTCAAGAACAAAATGTACCAAGTAGATCTGAAGACCAGAAAATGTAACGTTACCGTTCCATATCGACCATTTTTCCAACGTGGAACTTTCCCTGGAGAGAAGTTTGATTATGAGGGTGTGATTGGCGGCGCTGGTCTCCCAAATGAACAAGTCACAATTCAGCAGTTTTCTATGAATACCACAGGAGGTAGGTTGTAATTCCGGATTCAAGTTGGATATGCATTACTTCAACTGTGAGAGTGTTATTTCACCACTCGCTTTTAACGTTTGATGTAAAAAAAAATTCTTTCAGACATACTAAGAAAGTTTTATGACATTCATGCCATTTTTTGTAGAAATTGTAACTATCAAAAGTGAAAAAAAGATTACATATCTCTGTATTTGACATTCATAGCATCAGTTAAAATAACTATCAAAACCAACCCGATATTTGTAGCAAAGACAAGTTACTAAACGTGTTCAGTATCAAATATGAATTTAAGAGTGATAATAAACTGACATTGTTGAATCAACATTAGGATGCATCATTAGAAAAAAATTGAAAAGCATTTTCCAGTCAGGAAGCAATCATAAGTTCTCATATTTCTGGTTGCGGTACCATTGTACATAAATATAAATGAATTTGATAATATACCACAAAGTTTCATTTCACCATGCATTAATTACGGATGCCAGATTTACACTTGTATCATCCCCAGACTGTATTCCAATTTAGAATATTCTTATCACAACAAAATATGGATATGAACAATTCAAGTAAGGGAATCTAACTTTTTCAAAACCTTTAATATTTCAGACGCTCGATTTTCTTTGGTATCATCTCCAGACTGCATTCCAATTCAAAACGTTCATATCACAACCAAATATGGATATGAACAATCCAAGTAAGAATGATATTGTAACATCTAAGCTTTAATTCATACAGGCAGTGGAGGTTTGGTGAGAGGGTATCGCATAGCTTGATGAGTCATTTTTATGTTATTATTTTGCCTTTTGCACCAATTGGAAGTATTTATAAAAAAAAAATAATAGTTCAGTTTATTGCATGTTCAAATGAAAAGATAAGATCAAACTTCTCTTTTTTTATCTATTGGATATTTAGAAGTTATGTTCAACTAAGCGTTTCTTTCTACAACGTCTAAATCATGTGACCCCCCTAGATATCAATCAAACCAATCATCCTCAACTTGAAAATCATGTAATTGAAGCATATTTCTTCAGAAAATAGTTCATTTCTTTGCGATGAAAAACAATAGAAGTCTTTATTTTATTTTTAAGAGAAAAAAAAAAGCTCAAATTAGTATCTTTCGTAATTACTGTATGAATATTACATCTCTCTCTCTCTCTCTCTCTCTCTATATATATATATATATATAATGTACATATTATTGTGTTACATTTTTTTTGTTTTCCTTTTCAGTTATTACGACTTATGTGTTTGTGTTACATCTTTTTTATTATTTCCCTTTTCAGTTATTACGACTTAAGTGTTGGAATTAGTGATCCTATGGCTTTTATTCCACCCAGGGAATGTGAAGGCTAAATGTGTCCTGTTTTATATTTTTGTACAAAATTTAAAATAAAAAAATAATGAATAACAGAATTATTTTTATTTCATCTTTAAAAAATTGCATGAAAAGGAAGATTGGATTGAATTATTGATATTTTATCTTCATCTGGCAATTCATTTTACTTTGTCCAACAATTTTATGACAATTTCACGATTATAAATTTTGAAAAAAGACATACTTTGATACTTTATTTTAAATCAGAAATCAAAGCAAACTTACTTTTGATAATTTCGATCATATGGATGAGTGGATCTGAGGAATACCCACAATTTTTATTGTAGTGACATATTCTGTTGCACCAAGCAAGCATCTAAATACACAAATACCTAACAAACCAAGTCACGGATATTTGATATAACAACAAGGCAACAACAAAGGATTTTGTCGGTTTTGATAGCAGTAAAAATATGACTATTATCAGAATTAATAACACTGGAAAGACAAAATTAGCATTCCCGTCTTTGGAAGGCATCACAAATCAGTTGCTTTTACCCACACGAATGGGAATAAGTCACAATACCTATTAAAAAAACAGGGGTGTACCAAATCTTTGCCGTCTATAGTATATTTTATTAGGATTTTTTTCTTGATTGATTACTCTTGAAATAAATATCAATTAAAACATCGATCATATTTGTAAGAAAAATGAACATCACTGAAAACAAGCATAATTAAAAATGATAATAAATAAATAAATAAATCTTTAAAAAACTTGAAAAAAAAATAACATTTCAAGCTCAGAATAGGAGTTCCTCTTAGAAATATTGATCTGAATGAGAATGTTCTCTTTTTTTAAAAATCGACTGTACAGGGTCCAACACGGGGATGGGGGTGGGTTGGAGGTGTTGGCATTACCTGGAATTTTTCTAGACGCGGTGCAACACGGTGTGTCCACTACTGGATTTCAAATTAACATACACCATGCTACACCCATGAACGAGGTGTATAACAGCTGTCACACCATTTCACAGTGTCTTCTATCGTGCGACGGGGAGTACATATACTGTAATTCAAGACTGGCCCATAACGAAGATTCATAATGCGTGTTTAACTATTTACTGGCAATGGGACCAATGGGTAGTTAATTGTTCCATTGAACCTATTTAATGCAATGAAATTACGACCTTATTAAAAAAAAAAAACTACAGGTAAGGGAGTCATCCGGCAAATACATTGTTGGATGAAATATGAAGATAACGAACAGTATTCAATCTCGAAAGTCCAATGATTAAAAACCGAAAGACGTATATTAATGATTGCATGAATTTGATCAAAACGAATTACTAGTTTTAATCAATTACACAGCTCAAAAATACACAAAATACTACGAAATTATCAATTTTAGTGGGGGACCAACGTTCGTGGATTTTGAGGGTCACTCTTACCTATGAAATACTGATAACATTGTCAACATATCAGGTCATTGAATCTTCCGTATTCATGAATTTCCCACGAAATTATGTCCTCGGGTAACCAGTTAAATTTTGGTTACCCTCGAACATATTGACCCCCATGAAATATAAATTTCTCGCGAACGCATATGAAATTAAACAATGTTTTAGAGATGTATAATTCATATAATATACTTAAAGGGTCTTGGTTTTGAAGACTTGAAGATTATATTTTCTAAACTCTTAAGTATAATATGAATACTTAATATTGGTACAGTATTTCACACCGAAATACTATAAGGGCGTGTTCAGTAACTTTTATCTGGAAATTATCAAAACTACGAATTTCGGAAAGCGTTTCATTGATACACATCCTTTTCATTTTCACGAGGTAATCTTTTTTCTTAATATTAAAAAAAAGTGGAAAATTTGTTGTGTATTAATTAAAAATATTAAAATTATAATCCAGAAAATTCAGAGTAGAAATGTGAGAAAGCAAAACCAACTCATCAGAAGTGAGTAGAATGTCGTTGTCAATGAAATTTAAGAATTTACGTATAGGTTTAAGTCATTAAATTAAAGTTAGTTTTAAATTAAAAAAAAAAGAAATTTAAGATTTTATATATATATATATATATATATATATATATATATATATATATATATATATATATATATATATATATATATATATATATATATATATATATATATATATAATGGTATTACAACGGTGTCCAGGCCCCTTTAATTGTTATTAAAAATTTTCATGGTAGTGTGGGAGGATTAATCTCATGGAATTTGTATTTTTAAAAATGCACTTCTTTATTTTTCATAGAGGAAGAAGTTTTCAGATTGTTTTTAGACCGATTCCATCTTAGAGCCAAATGCCTTAGTGCAGACGTACTTGTAATTCTAGAAATTGTCTGTAATGTAGATCAGCCCACTTCTACTAGGTTAGGTAATGCCTGGAGGTCAAAACTGCAAATCATTGGAATTTTTTTTTTTACTATGAAGACTAGTGTTCAAATAAAATCCCAAAGAATTTGTATTATATAGTCTGTCAGTAAGTCCGTTGGGCCGTTTAATGACTAAACTTTTTAAGCTCTCTTTATTATCAAATATGATTGGCGTCGATTTCTAATGGTAAACTCTTTGAGATTTCTTTTAAAAAATTGTCTTGAAAAAAGTTGATTTTTCTCAAGATAATTATTGAAAAAAAAAAAATTTCAAAGAGTTTATTATTAATTGTCTAATTGCCACAAAGGATTTTCAGGAAAAAAATTCTCTCTCTTTTTTTTTTTTTTTTTTTTTTTTGGTTTTCAAAGTTCCTTTTCGTTTGTTTTGTTCTCTTATTTGTTTTGCACTTTTACTCCAAAAGATCACAATACTAAACGTAAATGCTAAAACATAACCAGATGACTTAAATGCGTTATATAATTCTAGAACTGTAAGCTTATACCTTAGTCTGATAAACTTTATCTGTCCAAATGTTTCTCCAAATACTTTTCTGTTTACTGGTCGGCCAAATTATTTCCCAGCAACCTAAGCCTTGTAGTAAGTACATCGTTAATTTGCAATTATTTTTCTTATAAGTTGTCAGTTAAAAAGCATAATACAATAAGTTGCTTAGATTTGTTTTTTCTTTTTTTTTTAATTTTCATTAATAAAATCTCGTTTTTATTTATTGCTTCTTTTTTTTTTTAATTTTCAGCTTCCCCGTCTATTTGGGAGTGCAATGAAATCAAAGTACGTACCAAATCTTAATGTGCTTTGATTTTATTTTTTGGTTTTATTATTTATATTGTTGTTGTTGTTATGAAATCCATTTAGACGTGAAGTTTTTTCCTTTGTTGTTAAATGAAAATGATTTGTTTTTCAAAGGTTGATCCGTCTGCTAACGTCACCAAAAAACGGCGCTTGTCGTACGATTCCAGAAACAAACGAGAACGAAGAGTAGAGACTATTGATAAAGCTAGCAATATAACTTCCTACGATGAACTGATTCTGTGGAATGAGGTAATTCAAAACTGACATGAAATCCGCAGTTTTTATTGTTATTCTTTTTTTTTCATCTTTACAGCATGGTGGCATATTTCTGCCCTCTTCATGAAAGATAAATTATGTTAACATGCAAGAAAAGTTTGTCAGCATGCAAGATAATTATGTTTATATGCATAAAAATTATGTTAACATGCAAGTTTTCAATCTTTTTAGAGAATCTAATTTTAATGTTGGTAAATATACCTACAAACGCCGGTATACGACATCATACAATCAAGGTGCAACAGAATTATGTTGACATGCGACTTATTTATGTCAACATGCAAGGTAATTATGTTAACATGCAACTTATGTCAACATGCGACTTATTTATGTCAACGTGCAACTTATTTATGTCAATATGCAAGATAATAATTTGCATGTCAACATACGTATCTCGCATGTTGACATAATTAACTCGCATTCTATCATAATTATCTTGCATGTTGACATAAATAAGTAGCATGTCTACATAGAAATCTCGCTTGTTAACATAAGTAAGTCGCATGTCAACATAATTCTGTTGCATCTTGCTTGTATGATGTCATATAATGGCGTTTGTAAGTATATTCACCAACATTTAAAATTAGATTCTCTAAAGAGACTGGTAATTTGCATGTCAACATAATTATTTTGCATGTTGACATAAATAAGTCGCATGTCTACATAATTAATTGTATGTTAACATAATTGTTTTGAAAATATTTTATTGTTTAATTAACACAAAGGGATTGGCTACAAGTTCTAACAACTAAGGAAAACCTTTCCCTGTAATATATACAATACTTATAATGATTGTCGAACGAATTATTTACAGTTGAAGTGAAAATGTTAAGTTATACATGATATATATACAAAATATTTTATAAACATAATTTATCGTGCATGTAGGGGGCAGAAATATGCCACCATATTACAGTCATCAACATTTCAACTTGTGTTTTTAGAATAAAATGTACAGGCTAGATTTGAAAACCCGGATATGCAACGTTACAGTTCCACATCGAGGTTGGATACCACGTGGTACACACCCGGGAGAAAAATTTTTTAGCCAAGATTATGTTGGAACACCTGGATATCCAAAGGAAAGACTCACAGTTTTACAGTTTGTTTCAAACAAAACTAAGGGTGAGAAGTCAAAACGACGCATATTTTGTACAGACTATACCAGATAAATGTTAATCATGGTAACAGTTATTCTATAGAGAAAAAAATCTTTTGAGTAACTCCAGATTGCAAATTTACCGTGTTTTATATGGATTTTAAGTTTCAGATATGAAGCACACAATTGTGACTTCTCCAGACTGTGTACCTATTCGCACAACCATTTTCAGTTCCACACGCGGATTAGAAATCTCAACGTAATTATACAATTATGTATTCTAATCTACGCAAAGCGAACAACTGTATCACTGAAATTTTTACTTGCTGTCAAAATTAAGTTCTCTCAAGTTTCATTCTTTGTTCCTTTTATCAATATACATCTTAATCTGGTATCCTTTATCTCTGTCGTATTGGAAGCATGTAAAGTACTTTTTTATTGATTACGTTTTCACTTATTACACCTTATTATTTTTTTTATTTTTCTTTTGTTTTTGTTTGTTTGTTTTGTATGGATTAATGTTAGTTTTTATTTTCTTATTTAATCGACCTTGATTGACAGTTACAAAAAATTTCAAGACTTATGCATCTTTGAGTGTGCTTTTTATTTATTTTTTTTTCTTTTGTTAAGAATGCAAAGACTGCTAAGAATACATTTCTACAATTCCTTCATTAAAAGTTCTGGCCTGAAGAAAATATTTAATGTTGCTATAATATATTTTCTTGTCATGAAAATCTTTTCCATCACAAAATTCATTTGAGCACAGAAAAAAAGAAATATAAACAAGTTAAAATTCATATACTGGTAGTTTGTGTGCAAAAAAGAAAATTCATTAAAAATTAATGCCACTATTTGGTTCAATATTCCATGGGACTTAATAGTAGGTAATAACATTTTATGATAAATTGAGTGCTCTTTTTACTTATATACAATTTATTAACAAGCACATATTTATTTAATTCTAGTTACTATGATCTCAATATTGGTATATCGGACCCTAGAGTATGGACTCCACCAAAAGAATGTCTTCAGTAACACCATAACATCTTTCTTGAATATCATGTCATTTTTGTGCTTAATAAAAACTATGACAAAAGATTTTTCATTTCTCATCACAATATTGAAAAAGAAACTAAAAACATATAATACACTAGTATCTGTTATTGCAAAGTGTAGTTTGATTTTTGGTTGAGTAGAACTGTAGCACAGTATTGAAGTCATTATAAAATTTCGGTCTCTGATTTACTAAGACAATGTATTGTATCACTTGACATCAAATGACAGGATAAGAACCTCTAACACGTATACAAGTTCTGAAATAGGTCTAGTAATATGGTAGTTCTAGATCTTATCTCTCCGGCACCAAACTATCTAGAACAAAAGAACGAACTGTCGCATGTTTTATCTCAGTTCGCTAACATCTTACCAGAAGAATGTTTCTCGTCGCAATCTGTCTGTTGGTAGGTGCAGTTTCTGCACAAGCCCCTGTCCCTTGCAGTAAGTACTTCGTACAATTTTTTATTTATTTAATATGGAAAGCGCTTATACAGAGGAATAAAATGACTAGAAAATAACTTTTAATTAGTAAATACATGTATATATACATGTACATTGTATAAGCTAAAATTATATGACAATTTAAAAAGTTATATTACAGAGGTTCTAATAAGAATGGGATACAAATTTCAAAAATATGTTTAACATTTACATTTTTCAGCTGATGCTAAATCAAATATTTATCAATTGCAGTGTTTCATCATTAGAAATATTACCATTTGCATTACATGTAGATGTTTCATTTATGTCGGTCAATCACTAATCTTTCATTTATAACCACCGACTAAAACTTAAAATAATTTTCTCATTCTATATATCTTACATGATTAACAATAGTACATGCAATTAAGATTTTCTAGATTTGTGAAAAATCAAGGAATAAAATTTTACTTTTGACAGGTTCACCACCACAATGGGAAGGCCGGGAGATAAGGGTGAGTTTCTTATCAGGCTTACCTTTGTGTAATGTAGACATTACTTCAGGACTGTAGAAGACATTACTACAGGGCTGTAGAAGATATTACTACAGGACTGTAGAAGACATAACTACAGAACTGTAGAAGACATAACTACAGGACTGTAGAAGACATCACTACAGGGCTGTAGAAAACATTACTGCAGGACTGTAGAAGACATTACTATTAGAGTGTAGAAGACATTACTATTAGAGTGTAGAAGACATTACTACAGGACTGTAGAAGACAATACTACAGGACTGTAGGAGCCATCAATACAGGGCTATAGAAGACATCACTACAAGACTGTAGAAGACATCACATAGAAGACATAAAAGAAGAGGCTTACTAGGACTGTAGAAGATATTACTATAGAAATGTAGAAGACATTACTACAGGGCTGTAGAAGATATTACTACAGGACTGTAGAAGACATCACTACAGAACTGTAGAAGACATTACTACAGGACTGTAGAAGACATCACTACAGGACTGTAGAAGACATCACTACAATATTGTAGAAGATATTATTACAATACTGTAGAAGATATTACTACAGGACTGTAAAAGATACTACTACAGGACTGTAGGAGCCATCACTACAGTGCTGTTGAAGACATCACTACAGGACTGCAGGAGTCATCACTACAGAACTGTAGAAGACATCACTACAGGACTGTAGAAGACATGAGTACAGGGCTGTAAAGGACATTACTACAGGACTGTAGACGACATTACCACAGGACCGTAGAAGACATCACTATGGGTCTGTAGAAGACATAACTAGAGGACTGTAGATGACATCACTACAGTACTGTAGATGACAATACTACAGGACTGTAAATGACATTACTACAGGGCTGTAGAAGACATAACAACAGGAATGTAGGAATGACCGAAGTTTTGAAATGGTTATTATAATGGAAATGGTCTGATACTCTGATTATAGTGGCAAAATGTGGCTTTTGAGACTAATTCATATCCAGTTGTATATCTTCTGTATCACTGGGTTTTTTTGTTTTTTTGTTTTTGCTTTTGTTTTTTTTTTTCCGTTTTGTTTTGTTTTGTTTTGTTTTGTTTTTGTTTTGTTTGTTTGTTTGTTTGTTTTTGTTTTTGTTTTTTTGCTTGTTTGCTTGTTTGTTTCTGGAGGAGGAAGGGGGGGATATCAAGTAATTTTAATATGCATAATTTTGTTTTATTAATTAAATTAAATTGCATTTATATTTCTCAATCCATCTAGAAAAACAACAGTTTCAAAAACTCAAAATCACTGTATTTTTATGTACCATTAACCACTGTAGTCTAAATAGGTTGACCCCTCACAGAAGTACGAAGAGAAACGATTTTTGGCCTACGATGAAACACAGCAGAGGGAAAGGATCATGACAGAAATAGAAATTGGGTCAGAGAAGAAACTTTACGATATCCTTATCTTACACCGTGAGGTAAGTAATACCAAATATGCAGTCGCACTATGTCTTCATTTTTATCCATACATCCCATTGAACTTGAAATAAGGCATCTTACTGTCTGACACATCCGTTGCATATTCGTATGTTTAACTAGAAAAAGACATGAACAACAAACTAACAACTTAATTTTATGATAAACATGATGACTTCAACTTGCTATCGTCAACTTCCCTTATTTATGTTGCAATATACCATTACTAAATCTCCCAGTTAATTCGATACGCCAGAGCATGTGTTAATAAAATAAGTTGATGACAAAAGGGTATCGAAAATTCTATGGTCGATTTAATGACCTTTTTTTGCAAATAAAGAATTGTCGTTATGTTGAATGTTGACATGTCTTTCATAGAATTAGCCATTGTCTTTACCCAATATGACTAGAGGCACATGACCAGTCGACAGAGGATGCTTATGAGTAATATATATCCGCTTAACTTTAGAGAAGAAATTGAAAATGTTGAGATTTAAACCTTATAACATGTTTCAGGCGGCGTGTGAAATAGCTTGAAACCCGTGTTAAAAAATGCCCATTCTCTGACCAAAATTGTTTTAAGGGGACTAAGTTAAGTTCATAAAGTCAGATTTTTTTTTCAAATTTGCTAGAAGCCCTTATTGTAAAAAAAAAAAAGAAGGCTTATTTCACGATATTTTTCTTAACTTTCTTGATGTTGATGACCAACTACTATTGTCATCCTTTCTCGGCACAGGGGATGTGCGTTCAAATGAAGGTCATATTCAAGGATTTACAATTTGTTATTCTAAGTCTTGATTTTTCCACAGAAAAATAACAGATTTCTCTACTTTTATAGTATAATTATTGTAAGAATTAGCAGAGAGGTTTCTACGACATAATAAACCTTATTTGAGGCAAAAATTAGCATATTTTCAGAAATATTCCTTATCGAAGTCGAAATATATGTAATTTTTTTTACATACAGAATAAGATGTACGCTGTTGACTTTTTAACGAAGAAATGTAATATTACCACCATCAACCGTCCTTTCCGTCCAAGGGGTGTCATTCCTGGGTCAAAATTTGAGGGGGAGGTCGTCATAGGGGCAGCCGCCATCCCCAACGAATCTGTCACCGTTCTAGCATTTTCTGGAAACTTTACTGGAGGTACTTTTTCATTTATTTTTTTATTTATTTATTGCTCAGCATATTATGTTGCATGATAAACATCAATTCTGTATTAATCTTTGAAAAAAAAAATTAAGGCCCATAAAAAGAGGTTTGAAACGTTTGATAATTGTTTGATAACATGCACAATGTAATTATTTTGTAATTCGTGCAAATAATCAGCTCTGTTTAATTAAAGAAGTAATACCAAATTAAGACACTAAGGCATAAGTATATATAACTATTTGTCGTCCTGATGTAGTCAGTGACCGTTGTCATTTTTTTGTTCTCCTGGGTCATGTTTCTATATCTGACTTTTTTTTTGTTTTACAGAGGCCTACACTGGGTTAGTCTCATCACCAGACTGTTTCCCCATCCAGAACATACATTTCTCCCAGAAATATGGATTTGAGCAATCAACGTATGAATTAACAATTCAAAATATGTTATTTTATCTGGTATATTTTTATGCAAAGGACGCTTATGTTTACATGTAGTTTGTTTATTTTAATTTTGGACTTTAAATATGTAATCTGAAATAAATGTTAAGTAATATTTATACATATATAATTAGATATCTTTGACAAGTTTGTCCATTTCATTATATCAGAAGCTGACATGATATGATGTGCTGACATGATATGATGTCTTAGTTTGATGTAAACATGGAATAATTTATATATACATTCTTCATTTTCATTCGTTTTTTTTTTTGTAGATACTATGACATCAAAATCGGAATATCAGATCCACAACTCTTCCTACCACCAAGAGAGTGTACCACACCCCCACCACCTGGATACTAAAATTAACAACAACAGAAGTTAGGAAATTATATAACTCCTCATTTCGTCATCAACTAAAGAAGTTTAGCCACACAAATACACAGTGCATCTCATTAAAAAGAAATAAAACTTATTTTTTATTGTCTGTTCCATTTCCTTTTATGTTACATTCAAAAGATATATATATTTGCAGTCCGTAATTTAGTATATTTTTGACAAAATATTGTTTAGGTGCTTTCTAATTACTTACTCTTGAAATTTATCACTAATTTCGAGATGCGTGAATTGTGATAATATATTGGGAAACAAAGATTTCACATATATTTTAAATTATCGCAAGACGTTTAATATCTGCATGTGCAACTTTTTGAATAGATGAAACTTGCTGGGTCCTGCATATGTTTCTTGGGAAACTTGTTTCATACATGTTGATTTCCGGAAAAAACGTCGTTATGCTCAAACATATGAATCAAATTTCTAAGTAAACATATATACACCATGCATGCATTATGAAATCAAGGTTCCACTTTTTTCATATGAAAGTAGATGTTGATTTAGAAAATATGCTGTTCAGTTATTGGAAAAAATTGAATCTCTTTTGGAATCTTCGAAGATTATGATATTAGTTTTCATTAATATCAAACTATCTGAAGTTTTTAAATTTGGACGTTAATTCCTTTATACAGTGGATATAGCTCATAGGATATCGTTTTCATATCCACGGCTGTGACGTCACAATGGTTTTTGCGTGGATTTGATCAAGTCAAAAATTGTGGATTTATCTATAAAACAGTATAAAACATGAAATAGCTATGTGTAAACATGATAAAAAGAATCCCCCATAGTTTGTGTTTGGATATGATTTTTTATCCCCTCGCCAATGCTCGGGGACAAAAACACACAATTTGTTGGATAAAAAAACATATCCAACCACAAACCCTGGGAGATTATTTATTTCATTTGTTATCTACGAACCGAGATTAGTTATTCCACAATTTGCATTCATTCATGAACTTTGTGTTATTTTAATTACCTTGAAGATGCCAATAAATTGAAATCATTTGAGTGCATTATCCAGAAAGTTGACTGGGGCGCCTTGTCAATTATTTCTTTAGGGTATTAAGTGTATGTGTTTTAAATACAGATTATAGTAAATGTCAAGCAATGCAATGGGAAATTCTCTCCCCCCCGTTCATGCATTTGGTAAGCAAAGCTAAAACAAAAAAAAATAATAAATTGAAATAAAATATGTTGTTAATGTTGTAAAAATTTATGAAGAAAACTACTGTCCAGAAATCCCTTAAGTTTCGTTGGAAAATTGAATTCATTTAGAATTTTGAAAACAGCTTCATCAAAATAGCTTTACTTTTATCTCCCGGATGTTTGCATTTGGCATATAAATTGAAAGGTATTTCCGACAAACCTATTGACATTGAAAAATGAATCTGAGGCTGGTTGATTTGATCAACAAAAGTGTTACCTTGACTGTTGAGAGATCATTTCATCAAGGCAATCTCTTAAAGTGACAATTATTGACTTCATAGGCGAAATCATTGTAAAACTTATTACACTTCCATTAGCTTAACAATAGATATTTCATAACTGATGGAGTTGAGAGTGTTTCCAGGGGACTATTTTAAAAGCAAAATACAAAGAAACTGTAAACATCACATATAATTTTCAATATTATCGTATCAAAATTCTTTATTGTACATATATATATATATATATATATATATATATATATATATATATATATATATATATATATATATATATATATATATAAGTACAGGTCCAGGTATCCATGTAATTCCGCTACAGATGGTCACTTCCTGCATTGTACAAAATTGACATAATTATAGAAAAGGATATTTTGCACAAAATAATAAAATAATATTATTCACCGTATTTCTTTAGTCAAAGAGGCATAAAACTTATTCTATAACATTCAATGACTTTAACTTCTCAATCGTCAACTTCCCCTACTTATGCAGCAATATACCCTTATCACCTGCATACGGGGTTTATATCTCTCGGTTGATTCGATACGCCAGAGCATGCTCTACGTATGAACAATTTCTAAAACAAGGTAAATTATTGACAAACAAGTTGATGAAACAAGAATATCAGCAGTCTCGTTTAAAGTCATCATTTCGTAAGTTCTATGGTCGATACAATGACCTTGTCAGCAAATACAAACTATCATTAAGTCAAATGCTGACTGACTTTTTTTCATACTAATTGTTAGGCCATTATTTATACACTGAATTGTCGACGGATTTTTCCGTTATTTCCCGATCATGACAAGGAGGACACGGCGGGTGTGACCGGTCGGCAGGGGATGCTCACTCCTCCATGGCACCTGATCCTACCTCTGATGTCTTAGAAGTCCGTATCTGTTCTGCTCCTATTTTGTAATGTTGAATGGACCTTTGAGCTCGAATACTGTTCGTTATCTCCACATATTTCATTCAAGTTTATAATTTTGGTCTGCTTTCATGTACCCAGAGCACAATATTTAAACGACTGTCTATTTTAAGGTTCTAGAAAAATCTCTCCGCCTTTATATTAGATAAATCAATTTTAGAACCATTCCCTTTTTTAATTCGATACTATTTAGCAATTAATGTGAATTCTTTTTTTTTAATTAAATTGAAGTTTTGATCTGCTTATTGCCTTAAGTATTACAAGTAAGTAATACATGTATATGGATCGCCAAATTAATATTAATTAAATAACTAATATCTTTAATTATTTGAAGTATAATCAAATGATTTGGTGCACGGAACAATTCAATAAACAAATATACCTTCACAATTAATGATATATTCATGATTGAATTAATGCCTGCATTAAAAAATATATAATTGCTCTCGTCAATTAAATTATTGTGCGCATCAAATCAATTATTGCTCTCAATTATCTATTTGATAGGCGTTTCAATTTTATTGAAGAGAGCAAATATTCATTTGATTTAATATGCGTATTAATTCAGTTACTGTGCACAATAATGGAATTTAATGGAATTAATTATATCTTCAAACACTTAAAGATATATTGATTTATTTGAATTTATGTTAATTTGACGTTCCATACGAATATGCAGATCTCAACATCACTGATTTTACATTTCGAAGGAATCAATTAAAGTTTAATATGAAAAGGGTAAAATGCAAGGTCGTTCACTGAAGCAGAAAGAAAAATACGTGTAAATTGTGAATAATATCTCCTGTAAAGTTAATGTCAATTGTTCAATTCATTTTGCTTTAATTTTTAAATCATGACGGGTATACCTTCCAGAGAAAAAGGTTTTTTTCCTAACTTTATTTTAATTTTATACTTTGTTTTGTTTTCTTGTTTGTTTGTGTGTGTGTGTGTGTGTGTGTGAGAGAGAGAGAGAGAGAGAGGGTGAGTGTGTGTGTGTGTGTGTGTGAAAATCAGTTTTTCAGAATAATAAAAGCATACCATCTACATTTCTATTTTCTTATTACTATAATTATCACAAATATATTATGTTAAGTTATCTTGTATATGTATATTTTTATAGTGATATTGTCTTTTAAAAATTTTTTTTACATGTATTTGATGTTTTGTAAGTAAAAGAAATGACTCTGGTTCTTAAAAAACTATTTTCTCAAAAAAATAAACATTGATTTCGATGCATCCAACTTCATGTACTAGCATCAGAGGAGCATTATACATAAAAAAAGGTTTTATCGAAAGAGACCCCAAGTGACACCATTTGGTCTAATGCATTTAGGTGGTACTTGCTGGAAAAGCACGTGTGGTATCTGTTTCCTTCTTAAATGAATTTCTGTAAACGATCTTGTCCTCATGCTTACAAATTTATTTTGCTTCCATATATGGCTAGACATTATTAGGTAGGTCCCCATACTGTTGATTTATTTTTCCTATTTTCACCATCAGATTTTACATTTTTCAGAATCGCGACAACCGTGGTAAAGATGGAATTTTACACCGACAGGTATTTTTCTCCATCAAAATATCAGTTACGAACCAATCATAAGACTAAAACTTCTAAAGGATTTAGCTTTGACGTTTAATTTTTATTCCTTGAAAATATTTAACAAATGGCTACACTTAACAGAACAAATTAAGATAAACTAGCTTACAAAATAATGCAATAATGCATAAAATTAAAAAAAAATCATTTGAAATGAACAAATATATTTAAGACATTTAAGGTAATTTATGATAAAGCATTCGACGAAAAACATACCTGTCAACCAATGAAAAACATTAAAAAAAATAACGGTAGTTCAAACTGTTGTCACACTTGCTTCGTCTATCTTGGTATATTTACCGTCAGGGCTTAAACTGGAATCGAGGCAGCTGTCGGACACACGCTGTGTATAACAAATAGTCTTTAAATCAAGCTTTTTCTGAACTTCTGCACGTTCTGGTGCTTCTTTATAGTTATTCCTATTTTCGTTCTTCTGTCTATCTTCTGTAGAATTTGTTGAAGCTTCCCTAAGAATTTCCTCACTCTGTGTGCGATTATAGCACTTAATTATGGCGGTAAATGATGCGCGGAAATCTTTCCTCATCCAACAATAAACAACTGGATTGACCCCAGAATTGCACATTGCTATAAAAACAGCCATGCTTTTAATAGATTCAATAAGATTCTTTTCAAGATTGAGATATTTAAGCGGTCCGGCAACCATAAACGGTATCCAAAAAAGAAAAAAGAGGAACAAAATCAAGGCCATTGTTTTGGCTGATTTTGCATCTTTTTCAAACTTCCGATCTAAGTTGGACTTTATGGTCTTTCTGTATTTATCTAATCTTTTTCTATGTTTCTGAGCTACAATGAAAATCCTGATGTACATGAACAAAGTCGATGCCAGACACAGAAATATGGCTCCAAATGTACTGCTCATAGAATATGCCTTTGGCAATACCTTGAAAAAATCGCATTCTTTTGTTTCCTTGGTGTAATTGTTGACGAAGAAGGGGAATACAAATAATGTCAAATTGTAGATCCACAGAGAAAAAATGACAATGAAAGCTTTCTTTCTAGTCATTACGGATGGATACTTCAAAGGATGAATTATTGCAATGTACCTGTCCACTGCAATGGCGACAAGACTTGTGAGTGAGGCGCTCATTGAACAGACGACAGAAGAATATTTGCATATGCAAAGGTACTTGATTGTTGCCAATCTGTCCCCATCAAAGTAAAAGGCCACGTAGACTGGCAACGTCAAAACTGCTAGGAGACAGTCTGCAACAGACAAGGAACCGATGAAAAGGTTTGTAACATTTCGAAATCGAAATTTAAATTTGACCAGGGATATTAAAACGAGTAGATTCCCCGTCAAAATGAATGGAATAATGGCTGTCGATAGAACTCCTAGATAGAAAATTGTCTTCTCTCGCAAGTCCAAGTAGTCACTAGACGACATGGTTTCGCGTCGAGAATCTGTTAACCTCCTGGCATTAAAATTAAAAAATTGATGTTTTTTTGCCAATTATTAAAGTTCAATATGTTCAGTACTTTAAATCTTGGTAATCTTCGATATAATAATATCACGATATCTGATGCACAAAGGAAAGAAAAAATCCTAGACAGAAACTTTTGTATTATAAATTGTCGTGTATTATCATAAAAAAGAAACCCCTGCGGAACAAATCCTTTGAAAATTATCCAATTTACACTACAAATTGGAAAGATTCTTGTGCTTCCCTTGCGCAAACATCGATTTGATGTGTATTAACGAATTCATCACCTGTTTTCTTAAATTTCCAAAGTAATTAATTTCTTTCAAGAGGTAAATACCTTATCTTTCACTGGCATCCGCACTCTGGCATTTATCTTTCAGTGTGCATGCATCTGCACATTTGCAAGTATTTAAAGCTCCCTGTGAAATTGATCAATGCATGAAGCAAATCAACAGAAAGCCGTGTCACCGTTTAACATTTCTCAAACATGTATGCAACTCAGTAGGGTTTATTGATACTCATCAGAAGCCCCTATAGTTGTCATCTGAAACAAATAGATAGAGGGAAATAAAAGAAATCATTGGTGTTAGTTATTTTGGTGATATGAATATGGATGTAATTATGACAATGTTCAAAACATTAGATTTTTTTAAATTCAATCGGTTAGGTTAATAATTCATTAAATATAATTATATTTTCAATTCAATGATAAGATGCCTAGGAGGAAAATGCTATTTTATTCAAGAAACAATTATTTTTCACTCTTTGTAAACTAATTACTGTGTCTTATCTAGAAAATTTTACAAAGTATTTTGTTGAAAGCCTGTGTATTTCGTTTCCAAAATCTAAATTCTCCCTAATCGTTTGAGCATGTAGTTCTTCAGAAACTTTTTTTTTATTTATAAACAAGACTTCTCTGATTACTAGATTGCAGATATAATATCTCTAAAGATCAAGTGTGGTTGTTATAAGACCGGTCAGATTTTATACATACATGTAGTTATAAAAATATTCAGTATACGAGTCCACTAGTGATTATTTTCTTAATGACGTCACTAAAATGATAGAAGTCCTCATTTTATTCTCTAGTATTGCATAATTTGGATGGGTTTTGAATGTTGGTGGACTTTCGTTTATTCTGAAATAAACAAAGAATGATTGGTCTGGGAAATGATGACTAGTTTTTAATTTTCTATTATTATGTGGGTTACCAGCTTAATGAATTAAGTATATTGGTAAGTCAACATAAAATGGGTAATTGCTAACAAACTTGTCGTTTTTGTATATATAATCTGCCATAAACGGAAAACTATCTTTTCTCTTTACAAATGAAAAAAAAATAATACTGTCCAAATATATAAGGGTTCTTACGTCAAGAAATTAAGTTAATTCGAAATTTTTGACGATGGAAAAATAACTTCCATAAACCTACCTTGGCACTTTGGCTCGAGAAAAGCAGATATCAGTTCATTATTGAAAAGTTTCAATATATAAGTGGTCCTTACCTACCCCCGCCCCCGTAGGTCATGATTTGAACGAACTTGAATATCTGAGGAGGCTTATGTAATAATATGACTAATCATGGCTTTGCTGTTCTTGCGAAGAAGATTTTTAAAGACATTCCTAGGTATAACTTTGATCTCCTGTTGTGGCCCGCCCTGACTCCGAGGTCACATTTTGAACAAACATGAATCTAGACTACCTGAGGATGATTCTGTAATAATATGACTAATCATGGATTTGCTGTTCTTGAGAGGAAAATTTTTAAAGATATTTCCTATATACTCGTATGTATAACTTTTATCACCTGCTTTATCCCCCCTCCCCCCTCCCCCGGGGTCATGATTTGAACAAACGTGAATTTATGCTATGTAATGAAGCTTTCACATAAGTTTCATCTTTTCTGGCACAGTGGTTCTTAAGAAGATTTTTAAAAGATGCCATCAAATGTTCACTAATTCTGTATTATCTTCCCTTAAAAAGAAGGCTTATCCCTTCAATTGAACAAACTTGAATTCCTTTCACCAAAGGATGCTTTGTGGCAAGTTGGTTGAAACTGGCCTAGTGGTTCTTGAGAAGAAGTCGAAAATGTGAAAAGTTTACAGACGACACACGACAGACAGACGCCGGACACCCTTCGATCAGAAAAGCTCACTTGAGTCATGGACATCGTTCATACAATAAACCTATTATACACGATATTTCTTTTGAATCACTACTACCTTATGTAAATAAACAGTTAGGTCTCCATCACATTCGCACCAAACTTTGCCCTGTCCCTTTGAAAGTTCTATATGGTTTATTTGAAAAGGTCAGGGAAAGTCCATATTTGGATTCTTCGTCACCAGAATACAGGCTTGGATCTGTGATTATGGATATTGCAAATTATAGGCTTTTTAAATCGCTACGTTTTACGGAAGATAACACTGCACAAACAACCCGTTTGTTCCTTAAACTTCAATTTGCAAAGAAAGGAATCGAAGCAGTTAATACCTGTATTAGTAATATTCTTAATCACAAAAGGGTCCAGTCTTGTATTCCACCATATTTCAAGTTGAAGTCCACACCTTGTATTTCTTATAAATATACATCGACTATTGCTTCCAAACTTTTTAATTGCAAAAAAACTCTACAATGCCTACATATCGAACATCTGATACATAATCCTCCTACGTGTTCATGTTCTTCACCCTACAACTACAGTCCTGCTGGACACGTCATTACTGGTGATGTAAATATAGTTAATAATGAGGACCTTAAATCCCTTATTTTAAAAGGGCCAAAATTTAGGGAACCCCGTTCTTTCAACTGGCGTCATAATTTTATAAATATCATGAATTCTGTAGAGGATTACGCCAGGCGATGGGCCAAACACGAAAAAGAAGACCTTGACACTTTGTCAGAATGGATTAAGAGCATCAAATGGATGTTGAAATCACGCATTAAGCGATTGAGGGGCTGTATGAAAACTATTTATCCTTCTGTCTTTAATAATTTAGAAGTGAAAAAGGAATAAGATAGATGACACGATCAGTATGTACTGGTCCCAGCTGACAAAGCTGGTAACAATATAGTCTTTGTTTGTAAGGCTCATTATTTGAATTGTATTTCAGAGGAGCTAGGATTGGAAATCCAACTAACACCCATACCTCCCTTTCTGAGGAGGAAATTTTTCAAAATCATATGTCCGTTTTAGATAATTTTAATATTCCCAACAATCAAAATGAATTTGAATGACCATACCTTTACTGGATTCCTAAACTTCATAAAAATCCTTACAAACAAAGATAGATAGCGGGTTCCAGTAAATGTTCAACCAAGCCTCTATCTTTATTCCTCACTAAAATATTTACTGTAACGAAGGAGAAACTTCAGGAGTACTGTTCAACAGTATATTCGAGAAGTGGTGTAAATCAGATGTGGATACTTAAAAATTCCAAAGAACTTTTGGAAAATTTGAAATCACAAAATTTTACTAAAATCAATAGCATCCAAACGTACGATTTTTCAACATTTATACAACCATTTCCAACGATAAATTGAAGTCCAGGCTTTTTGACATCATAGACAGCTGCTTTTTAAATAAAAATGGAACTCGTAAATATACTTACCTTGCATTGACCATTTACAAATTATTTTGTTAAAAAGCACTCTGATTGTACCCACAAGTACTCTGACGTTGATATTAAAAAATGCTTGAGTTTCTGATTGACAATATCTATGTAGTTTTTGGAGATCAGATCTTCCAACAATCTGTTGGAATTTCCATGGGTACCAATTGCGCCCCCTTATTAGCAGACCTATTTTTGTATTCATATGAAGCAGAATTTATTCGAAAACTTCTACATGAGAAGAAGAAAACACTTGCTGTGACCTTCAACTCGACATTTTGATATATCGACGACGTATTATCAATTAACAATAGTTACTTTAATTCATATGTCGACTCGATATATCCAAGTGAGCTTGAAATAAAAGATACCACAGATTCTGACACATCTGTTTCATATTTAGATATTTTACTAGAAAAAGACGTTAATGGTAACCTAACAACAAAGCTTTATGATAAACGTGATGACCTCAGCTTTCCAATCGTCAACTTCCCTTACTTATGTAGCAATATACCCTTATCACCTGCATATGGGGTTTATATCTCTCAGTTGATTCGATATGCAAGAGCATGCTCTACATATGAATAATTTCTAAAACGAGGCAAGCTATTGACAAACAAGTTGACGAAACAAAGATATCAACAGTCTCGTTTGAAGTCATCTTTTTGCAAGTTTTTCAAAAAATTGCTGACTGACGTTTTTTATACTAATTGTCAGGCCATTATTTATACACTGAACTGTCTACGGATTTTTCCGGTTTTTGTTTTCCGATCATGACAAGGAGCACACGGCGGGTGTGACCGGTCGGCAGGGGATGCTTACTCCTCCATGGCACCTGATCCCACCTCTAATTCTTGAGGTCCGTGTTTGCTCTGCTCCAAATTTGTATCGTTTCATTGGACTTTTGAGATTGAATACTGTTCGTTATCTTCATATTTCATTGAGCCTTCGGCACAGGTTAGCTAAAATTATAAATTATGAATAAAAATAATCTTCCTACATATAAAGGAGGAATTTTTCAAATAAGAATAAGTAATGAAAATCAACGGCTTAAATCGGATCCTATATTTTCTTAGTATCTTTGAACAAGCAAGAATGTTATTTATCCTAATTATAACACATTATCATTATTCTATGATTTTTTTCTGGTTTTTTCCTGTTTCACCTGTATCTCGTAATTTTTTACATCATTAACTTGCACTTTGAGGTTCAATTTTGAATAATAGATAAAATCGATAACTATAAAATTAGATTTTATTTTTTCCTTTAGTTTAAGTGTAATTTTATTCTTTACAATAAGAGTTAAAAGTTAATCCTTGATGTGATTTTCTTTTAAGACATGAAATGTTAGTACAAATGTGTCTCATTACTAGTCTAAACCAGCATCATTCACCATTTCAAACGACTATGGTTCCTATTTATTTCTATTTATTAGCTAAATGAAAGTATCTGAAGTCGTTGTTGCCATAAAACACTTTAGAAATAAAACAAATCAAACATATTCATTTTTTTTTTCAATAATCGAATCTTGATAAGAATGCTCTTGACCTGTTGTACATACTGCTACACAAAAGAACATGCTACAATTATATAATCTTTTTTCCCCTTTATGACTGATGCAGTTTCGAAGACAGCAAAATAGCTATCAAACTTGTATC